TCTGAACGTTGCACAAGTCCTTTAGGACAAATATTTTATTTTCTCTTGTGCATGGAATTGCTGGGTCATATATACATGTATGTTTAATTTTATAAGAAGCTATCAGACCTTTTTCTAAAGTGTTTGTACCAATTTATACTATCAGTTTATGAAAATTCCAGTTGTGTCACATCTTTATCAGTATTTGGCACTGTTGATATTTTTAATTTTGGATGTTTTGGTAGGCATATATTGGTGTTTATGGTAACTCACTGTGAGATTTTATTCTTTGTTTCACTTTGGGGAAAATCAGTGAATATGAAGGAGTAGAAGAAAAAGGAAGAAGATTGAAGCAAATAGTTCCACTTTGAGATCTGATGCAGACAGCCACATTCTCTAAATTTTTTTTTTTTTCACATCTTCCTATCACAAGTGCATTATTCTTTGTATAGTCTTCTAATTCTTACTTCAGCTCATAATTGCTTTAAACCTGTTTGTTTTTTAATTCTCTTCAATAGTTTAGTTGTCTGAAATTCTTAGTTTATTTGGTGCCTCGTACTGCTATTTATTTGTTGGACCTGGCTCTTTTTCTTTTGTGGTTTATAATTTTGGATTGGGAGCTCCTATTAAATTAAGTGCTTTTTTTGTTTTGTGGGGGTCCTATCTGGCCTGATTGTGAGGGTGTTTATTGACTTCAGCTATCTATTAGCCTGTGGCCACTTTCTATATAAAAGTTCTTAGTTTGGGAGATAAAAGCCTGAAAATGGTGGTCAGGATCCTCTAAATTTGAAGCCCAAATTTGGAGACAGGCCTAAGGTTATGAATTTGCACAGAGACTTTTTTTTTTTTTTTAATACCTCATGCCTAGTCCTGGACTCTGTATTCGTTGGCTAATGGGCTCCTTTTTTGTTTGTTTGTTTGTTTTTTCTCCTAGCTTGTTGTTCCATTTAGGAGTAGCAGACTTTGGAGAATCATTTTAAGGTGGATCTTCATTCCAGTCCTCTTTTCTTGCATGCCCCCATCTCAGCTCCTGTCCCTAGTACGGTTTAAACCCAATGTTTGGTTAGCAAGGTTGGCAGTGCCCTGCAGGGTCTCCATGTGGGCAGTGCCCCTCATCCTATGCCCAGTTTGTTTTCTGTTCCTGAAATTCTTTTTCCTTTCCACTGAGCTCAGCTATCACTGGAGTAGATATTTGATACCTATTATTCAATATATAAAGGTCCTTTGTAGCAGGAAGGTTTTAATTTTTTTTCTAGTGCTCCATATTGCTGAGGGAATAAAAGTTGCAGTCTTCTTTGATTCTTTGAAAAACAATTCATTTTAGAGATTATGTCTATCCTCGAATAAATAAATAAATAAATAAAAGGTCCACCAAGCATGTGACTTTTTGAATCATGATCTTTTTGCCCTGAGATATTCTCTCTCTTTTCTTTGTAGGGTCTTGCACTGAGAAATAAACAAAGTAATTTATTTGGGCACATTCTGAGTATTCAGAAGGCAACCAGACATGTCCTTGGATGACATTAAGATGAACTCCAGTGACCTCCTGAAGAAAGAAGATCTAGACAGCGGAGGCTTTGGGAAAGTGTCCTTGTGCTTTCACAGAACCCATGGATTAGTGATCCTGAAAAATGTGTACACGGGGCCCAAGTGTACTGAGTGAGTTGGGAGCATAGGTGGGTGGGTCACACTCCCTGCTGACCACAGAAAGTGGCTATCAAGGACAGTACAGGTTTCAGGATGAGTCAGAACCTGACGTGAATCTTGATACACCAGCTCTGTATTTCAGGGTAATGGTTACTCTTACTATTATCATTATCTTTAGTGATGTTTCTGAGGCTAGTTAGTGAAAACTAGGACATATAGAAGAGAAGTGCAGGGGAAAAAATTTAAAAAATAGAAGGACATGAGGGAGGCAATGGATATGTAAGGTGTTTAGTCAACTTTCTTTAGCTGTGGCAAAATACCCCAACGTAAAAAGAAAAGGAAACTTAAAGGAGGAAAAGGAGGAAGTTTCCTCCCAACTTAAAGGAGGAAAGATTTATTTTGGTTTTAGAGGGCTCAGTCCAAGGTCAGCTGACCATGGCAGTGGGAGCATGTGGTGGAGGATGCTACTGGCCTCATGGCAGCTGAGGAAGCAGGGTAGGTGGGAAGGGTCCCAGGGATACAATACACCTTTCAGAGGCAAGCCCCCAGTAAATTACCTTTTCCAACTAGGCTACTTTCAGTAGCACTACCAGCTGGGGCAAGGTTTCATAACAGAAGCCTTTGAGGCTCATTCTAGATCCAGAGAAATCAATGAAAGTAGACTTACTTGTTTGCTTCATTTTTGGGGTAAGGACCAGCCCTAAATATTTTTAAAAAAAAAAAAAAAGACCATTTATAAAAAGGTCCAAGAAGCCTGTTTTTTTTTTTTTTTTTAACCTGTCTCTTCTTTTTAAAGTAATTATGTAAGAGAGGCCTTCTTTTATTGGACTGTCCAGAATAGTCTTCATCTGGCCATGTTGCTGCTGTTGGTGCACTTTTTGCTTATTGATTTACATATCTTGAATACCCACTGCCAGATACTGGGAAGGAACGGTGCAAAGACGAAAGACAAGCCTCTCTGCTTTGTAAGGCTCATGGTCTGTATCTGAAAGAGATCAGTATGGTTCCCAGTGTGACACATTACAGGTGCAGAAATGTATACATTCCCAGGTGCTGAGGGAGAAGGGGCCAGATGTACCCCGCTCAGCATGGCATCTTTCCCACCCACAGGTACAATGAGTCGCTCCTTGAGGAGGGGAAGATAATGCACAGACTGAAGCACAGTCGGGTGGTGAAGCTCCTGGGCATCATCATAGAAGAAGGGGACTATTCCCTGGTGATGGAGTACATGGAGAAGGGAAACCTGATGCAGGTGCTCAAGGCCCAGGTAGAGGACATTTTGTAGTGCACTGGGTGCTGGCTCTGTGGCTAGAAGTGGGGAGTTCATTTATGGCTCTCTGGTCTAAAATAGTATCTTGGTGAATTGCCTCGTAGTTTGGATTATCTGAAGTCAGTCCCTCAGTAGCACCTCCTTGCCATTCCCCACACAGAAGGTTGTCTTTCCTTTTCTCAAGCCACCTATAGACCTCTGTGTCACCACTTGAAAGGTCTCCTCTGTGTCTTGCTGCTGCAGTTGACTTTTTACCAGACCTGCTAGCCTTTCCATGGCTCACACTGCAGAGAGAGGCCTGTCTTCAGAAGCATGGTCTGATGTGGGGCATTTGTGTGACAGATAACAAGTATGGGTTGATCAGTGAAAGCATATACACTCTTGTGACGGTAAGAGAAGATGGAATATTAGCAATTGCACTTTGATACTATTTAAGAAGCTTTTATTATTATAGGTTAAAAACAGAACATAAGCCACAACAACATTGGAGAAGATTTAAAACAGGAAAATAAAACTTGTTTATTACCAAAATCAAATAATTCTAAAATGTTTTTGAAAGTTTATGTAACTATTAAGATCAAGCTCTTGGGCTAGGTCCTGAGTAATGCAGAGCAAATATGATTCCAGCAAGTAAAAGAAGGCAGGTAAATAAGTGGTGGTGTTTTAATAAACACTGATAGTCTATTGTGAAGCAGAGGAGAAGCCCCCACCCCAACAGGGATAGATAAGAGAGGCTTCCAGTCTGAAGGACAAATAGAAGGTTTGAAGCAGACAATTAGGGAGTAAGTGCTCCAGGCAGAGAGAAGGCAGGTGCAAAGGAAAAGGGAGCCTGATCTGCAGAACAGCAACACCCAGTGTGGCCAGAGTATACATCACATGTGAAGAATAGCAGGATCTGGCTGCCTTTATAGCAAATATTCCCCCTTTTCTACCTTCTACCTCCACTCCATAACTACCAATCAATAGGCCTCTCTCAAAAATACAAACATCTGTGAGAGGCTAGAAGATGTCACTTACACACATTGTATTGTCCTTTGACCAGACTGCTGTCCTTCTCCAAACGAGGTAAGGTGGACTGCTTGAAAGAAGTAGGCACTTTGATTGGGAGATAAGTCATTTGTCACAGGAGGCATTCTTTAGGATCATGCAATGATAAAGTACACCAGTCAAAGCTCAGGAAGAAAGTTAGGAGGATCCAAGAGAGGAGCAGGAGAGGGGTGGGCAGGAAAGCAACTTTACTTGCTTGATTTTTTTTTTTCTAAACCCAAAATTGTACCAAAGAAGAAGGGAATGGATCTCATCTGCTTTTATGTGATGGTGACCCAACTAATAATGCTGTAGTTCAGCTACATTATGTGATAAATATGGTGTGAGGGGTTTGTTTAGCAAAATTAAAATTCAGCTACTAAAATGAAACTAGAATTGTTTATACAAACATGATGTTGATATAACTAGAATATAACTTTAAGTAAGAGTGACCTGAGATTCTACAAACACCTAAAGGGTCTGATACCAATTCAATAAATAGATATTAATTCACTTCAGCATAGTTTTAGAAACAATACATATTGCACAGATTTTTACATGGTTGTAATCAGTGTGAACATATTTCCTTATATTCTTTTCTTTTTTGTCTTTAACATTATTTTACATGCCCGTTTCCTTGACATTTTTCATGTAGTCAGTGCAGATAACAGTATCACATTACAGGTGTATGCCACAGAAAATGTTTGTACATATGTTATTCATTCAAATGGTCTAGGTGCCATTCTATGTACTGAAAATACAATCATAAATAATAATAATAATGTGATTTTGTTCACAAGGAATATAATCTTATAATATTTTTGAATGCTACAAGATTGACATTGAATTTTTGCTTTTACACTGATAAAATATGTCATCAATACCTTTTCTCCCTTGGAATGGAATCTTTCTTAAAGGGGAACTTGTGTCACCATGACGGTAGTACTGCAGAGCATCTGGAGAGAGGAAACCTGGTGACTCGGTTCTCAGATTTAGTGCTACCACTCTTCAGTGGAATAGTGGCTCTGGTCGGTTTGATTACCTTGCCATTTCATAGACTTACTATCGCTTGTTTTAGATCAGTATCCCGCTCTCTGTCAAAGGAAGGATAATTGTGGAGACCATTGAAGGAATGTGTTACTTACATGGAGAAGGTGTCATACACAAGGACCTGAAGCCCGAAAATATCCTTGTTGATGATAATTTTCACATTAAGGTAAACTATAAGGTGTAGGCTTCTAGAAGGTTGGGTAATTTTGGTTGAGTAATTTCAGTTATAATTTTCCACTGAAAATCCATTCTTACAGATGGAAAAAGAAAATTGATTTTACAAAAATTAAGGTGAGGGGCTAAGGATATAGCTCAGTTGGTAGAGTGCTTGCCTTGCATGCACAAGGTCCTGGGTTTAATCAGTTCAAGCACTGCCAAAAAAAGAAAAGAAAAGAAAGAAAAAAAATTAAGGTGAAAGTAAAAAATAAAATAAGCTAAATTTCAAAGCATATGACAGCACCATCACCAATTATATGTTGAGCCAGGTCTTCCTTTATCAGCAGCAAAATGGCCATTGGGCATTTTGCTGCTGAAAAAGGAAGACCTGTTTTGCTGCTGATAAAGGAAGACCTGGCTCAACATATAATTGGTGATGGTGCTGTCATATGGCTTTACCAGGGATTGAAAGGACAGATGCAGATTTGATGGGGTTGGGAGATAAGTGTAAGGATGTGACTAATGTCATTTTGGGAGTAGTGCAATTGATTGGAGTAGACTAGAAAAACACTTTCCTAGGTTTTTTTTTTTTTCCTCTGTTAGGTTTTTGAGATACAACATTCAAGAGTTGCCCCCTTCACTCTAGAATGGGCCATTTGCCTCATCATTTTTCCAGGGAATCTATGTTGAGATTCCTTTCTGGAAATGCAGGGGAATCCAGAGGGGTACATGTGGAAAATCCTTAGAACTTCGATATGGCCAAGAGTCAGATCTACAGCAAATCAACCATTTGGGCAGCAAAAACTTCTCTTTTGAAAAATAGCTGATTTAAAAGTATCTCTTTCCTGAATGGATTAAAAAATGTGGCATTTATACACAATGGAGTACTATGTTGCAGCACTAAAAAATGACAAAATCATGGAATTTGCAGGGAAATGGATGGCATTAGAGCAGATTATGCTAAGTGAAGCTAGCCAATCCCTAAAAAACAAATGCCAAATGTCTTCTTTGATATAATGAGAGCAACTAAGAACAGAGCAGGGAGGAAGAGCAGGAGGAAAAGATTAACATTAAATAGAGTCATGAGGTGGGAGGAAAAGGGAGAGAAAAGGGAAATTGCATGAAATGGAAGGAGACCCTCGTTGTTATACAAAATTACATATAAGAGGTTGTGAGGGGAATGGGAAAAAAATAAGGAGAGAAATGAATTACAGTAGATGGGGTAGAGAGAGAAGATGGGAGGGGAGGGGAGGGGGGATAGTAGAGGATAGGAAAGGTAGCAGAATACAACAGTTACTATTATGGCATTACGTAAAAATGTGGATGTGTAACCGATGTGATTCTGCAATCTTTGTAATGTTTTGAATAACCAATATAAAAAAATAAAAATAAAAATAAAAGTATCTATTTCCTTTTGAAAATATTCTTTTCATTGTAGTAAAGGGAACAGAGAAAGGGAACCTTCTTTTATTCACTCACGAGCAAGATTTAACTACAGGAGCAACAGATCGAATTGGTTTTGGCAGCTGGAATCCAGGTACAAGTACCTGGAAGAAGGGCTGAGGTTGTAGCTCAGTGGTAGAGAGTTTCCTAGCATGTGCAAGGCCCTGGGTTCAATTCCCAGAACCACACCAAAACAAAACAAAGAACCTGAAAGGGGAAGCAGCGTTAGGGGAAGAACTCAGGACTTGCCTACAAGATTCTGTTCTAACCCTTTGTTCAAGTCTTGGACAGATTTTTATTCTCATATCTTTAAATTCTTTCTTTAAATTAATAGCCTTTCTCTTATATTCTGGGTTAAAATCTGCGACTTTTGGATAATCACTTGTTGTCATTCATTCCCAAATGCTTGCTTGGATTCCTAGAGACAAAAATGGAACTGTCACTTTTGCTAGTTTATTCTGACGTTTTGGCTTGCCACTTCCTTCTTTGCTCTGTGTCTGACCTTGGTATTTTTCTCTGCTTTTCTTCTTGTTTTTTTTTTTTTCCTCCTCCTCCTTCCCATATCATTTTTTCTTAGGTTCAGATACCCAACAAGATCACAGTCTTTACGCTCAGTGTGTCTTGATCCATGGAAACTTGCATCCAATGGGCCTCTGGACACCATTTGGGGAGATAGAAGGTGTAGTACCCATTCTCCGTCAGCTACGTAAATCTGCTGAGAAGAAAGTAATGTTTTTCCATCCAGCCCTCGAAATAACTGAAAAAACATGCAGAATGAACCCAATTTGTTACTGTCATGTCAGGAATGCTTCTGCTTTCCCCTGCCCTTTTATTGCATAAGAATCAAGATACAGAATTTCATGTGAACATTTCTTGGGGAAGATTTTGCATGTCAGTGAGGAAACACATTTCTTTGAATGTGTTCAGAAGCAATTTTAAACCTGCCCAATGTAACCATTTCTGTTCCTCACATCTGTTAGATAAATCCCAAATTGAAAGCCAAATCTGGGTTGCTTATAGACTTCACACAGTGATTGTGTTGGTTTGATCTTTTGCAGATAGCTGACCTCGGTGTTGCTTCCTTTAAGACGTGGAGCAAACTGACTAAAGAGAAACACAATGAGCAAAGGAAAGTGAACAGCAACTCTGTGAAAAATGGCGGCACCCTCTACTACATGGCCCCGGAGCACCTGAATGACATCAATGCCAAACCCACAGAGAAGTCAGACGTGTACAGCTTTGGCATAGTTCTTTGGGCAATATTTGCAAATAAGGAGCCATATGAGAGTAAGACATTTGTAGAGGAGTGGGATTTTCTTATTAATCTAAATGATTATGTGAAATAATAGCCTTCAAGGAAATCAGTTAAGATTTATAATTTTTTGTTCATTTAATGGCAGTTTGTCCCACCGGACTTTGAGTTCCATGAGGGTTATATGCCACCTCTGATTTAGTCACTGTCATTTCCTCAGTGTCTACACACATACTGCCTAGAACACAGTGGGTACTTAGAAAATTTATGTTCAGTGAATGAGTAATTCCATTTTAGGAATCCGAGATCTCAGATGAATAGGCACCTTGATAATGTGTCTAACCTTTGGAAGTGCTATAAAATTTCTGGACTCTTCTTGGACAGAAAACTTGCTTATTTCTGCTTGTGAGGATTTAGCATACTATTGGCACACATTTCATACTGACACTCATTCACTTTGCCCTTCATTCAGAATTAATTTTTTTTCCAGTACTTACTGTGGGTACTTTATTGAAAAAAATAAAGATGAGTAAGTTGGGGTTCATGCAAAAGAACAGATATGTAAGTGATCATTCTTCCAGTTGAAGTATATAAACTAATGGACATTTTCCTATATATTCTTTCTGGATGATTATCAGCTTCTGTGGTTTAATATTGTTTCTTTGCTGATGCCTCTGAAATGTCTATCTCTGGCCCTTGCCTGGATATCCACCTGCCTGTTAGATCCATTACATACACCAGAGGGATCTCCAAAGCACATTCTCATAAACAGATCCACAGTTTGTAAGTTCTTTTAGCTCACTCTAACTTGGGTCCTCTTTGTATACTCAGAAAATGTCTTCACTATTTGTCTGTTGAGGAGGTCACCATCTACCTTAGAGTCATCTCAGACACAACCTTGCCCCTTATCTCCCACATCCAGGAAGATCTCAAAAGCTATAAATTTGAGGTGTATGTGTATGGTTTATACACATAGACACGCACGCACGAATACACACACACACACACACACACACACACACACACACAAGTCAAGATACATCTTTAATCCATTCTTTCTGTCACCACTAGCTTCTGTTTAGTTCAGACCCTTTGTATTTCTGCCAAAGGCTCCTGTGCTGTCCACCATTCACATGGCAGCCAAAATAGTCATCTTAAAAGACAAACACAACCATTTCATTCCCCTATTTAAAATCCTTCCAAAATTTTTCATGGCCTTTAGGATTAAGCTCAGATTCCTCAGTTTGGAATATGAGGCCCTTTATAATCTGACCTTTGCCTCTCCCTCCTTTGTCAGTATGCCCAGTTTTACCAAACTAGTAATTTCTGAGCTGCATCATAATTTTTGTTAACTACCCCCCTACCCCCAGTCTCTTCATTCTCCTTCTCGGGCCTGGAATCATCCTCCATAAATGGGCCCTCCTTCCCCATTTACCTGGATAAATCCTGCTTATTTTTCTGGACTTAGCAAAACGCCAGACTTTCTGTTCTAGTCATGATTGTGTTACCAGAGTCCCTTGTACTTCTATATCAACTTTCAGTCTATATTTTAAGTCACTGTCATTAAACGAGCTTCCTAAAGGTGAGGGCTGTCCTGTGTTTGCATTTGTATTAAAATCTGGGAACTGTCATTGGCTTTACACATAAAATCCATTTGTTTTACCAGAAAGCAGCCTTTGTTTTGAATTTTGTCCTTTATCTTCAGAAACTAAATTGTTGTTTGATCATCTCTATGATGGAATATATCAGCTTGTAACAAGGTCATTCCACCTCTACAGAACAAGGCTGCTATTCTTAAAGTTTACTAGATAGAGACATATTTGTGTTATTATCCAAGTTCTGTCATCTTAGTGCCTGAAACCAGGACCCAAAAGTCTTAACCAAAGATCCTCGTTGTCTTATAGATGCTATCTGTGCAGAGCAACTTTTAATATGCATAAAATCTGGGAACAGGCCAAATGTGGAAGACATCATTGAGCACTGCCCAAAGGAGATCATCAGCCTCATGGAGCTCTGCTGGGAGGCGAACCCAGAAGTTCGACCAACATTTCCTAGTAAGAGCATCTTTTGTGACTATGCAGGATACATTCCCCATGTTGATTTTCCTAAGATAATATAAGGAATATGGTTTGAGTCCTCATAAAACCAAGTAACACTTGTAGTTTTACGCTGACTTCCTAGGATGTATATTCCTGAAAAGTTTGGTAGAATTCTCCCATAAAACTTTCTGGACCTGGAGATTTTTGTTTGTGTTTGGGGTAGGGACTTAGTTTTTAAACTATGAAGTCAGTTTTCTTTAAGGACTGTTCAAAAGATCTGTGTCATATTAGGGCAGTTGTGGTAGTTTATATTTTTTGAGCAAGTGGTTCACTTCATCTAAGTTACTAAGTTTATGTATAAAGTTGATTTTAGTATCTTTCATATTTTTGATGCCTGCAGAATCTAGTGATAACTCCTATTTCATTTCAGATATTAGTAATTCATGTCTTCTTTTTTTCATTTCTGCTAGATTTTTATCAATTTTATTAATCTTTATAAAGATTTAGTTTTGGTTTCATTAATTTATTATTTTTCTGTTTTCTAATTCATTGATTTCTATTCTTTATTATTTCCTTCCTTATGCTCAGTTTGTATTTATTTTGCAAGTTCTTGAGATTATTGATTTGAGACCATTTTCTCTTTTCTAATGTATATATTTATTGCTATAAATTTCCCTCTCAGCCTGGTTTTAGTTGTGCCCCAGAATTTTTGACATGTATTTTCATTTTCATTCAACTTCACATATCTTTTTTTTTTTCATTGATCTTGAGACTTTCTCTTTGACCCATGTGTTATTTAGATGTGAGTTGTTTAGTCTCTTGAGTTTGGAGATTTTCTTGTCATCTCCCTGTTACTGATTTCTGGCTTGACTCCATTGTGGACAGAGAACACATTCTGTGTGTTTTAGTACTCTCAAATTTGTTCAGATTTGTTCTGTGAGTCAGGCTGTGGTCTGTCTTAGTACATGTTCTCTGAGCACTTGAGGAGACTACTTGAGTAGAATGGTCTTTAAATTAAATTAAATCCTGTTGGTCGATGGTGTTGTATTCTTGGTCTTTGATGATTTTCTCTCTACTTGTTCTTTGAATATTAATAGGGGTATTTAAATTTCCAACTGTAATTGTGAACTTGTCTATTTCTATGTTTAGTTCTGTACTTCTTTGCTTTTCATATTTTGCATTACAATTGCTGTCTTCTTAGAGGGTTGATATTTTTATCATTTTATAAATATCCCTCTTTGTCTTTGTTAATTTTGTTTGCTCTGAAGTCTACTTTATTAGAGATTAATAGAGCCATTCTGCTTTCCCTTTGATTAATATGTCTTTTCCATCCTTTCACTTTAAGATGCCTTTGACATTATGTGTCAAGTGAATTTCTTCTGACAAATTATAGTTGGGTCATTGTTTTTTAAGTGTCTTCTTTTAATTGATGTACTTAGACCATTCACATTCGATGTAATGAGTGGTCTGTTAGGGATCTAGTCTGCCATTTCATTTTGTCATCCATTTGTTCTTAATGTTTTTCATTCCCGTTTTTCATGTTAGTCAACTTTCCATTACCATAACAAAATATCTGAGACAGTCATCTTATAAAAGGGAAAGGTTTATTTTGGCTCACAGTTTTACAGGTTTCAGTTTGCGGTTGGTTGTCCCCTTTGTTTTGGGGCCTGTGATAAGGCAGCACAGTCTTAGCAGGTAACACAGGTAATAAAACTGTTCACCTCATAGCTGGGATTCGAAAGAGAGTGGAGAAGGAGGAGCCAGGTTCTGACATTCCCTTGAAGGATATGCCCTCAGTGACCTAACTTGCTTCCACTAGACCTCACTTTCTGAAGGCTTCACATCTCCCCCAACAGCACCACAGGTCAAGGACTGTGCCTATAAAAAATGGACCTTTCAGGGACATGAAGATCTAAACTACAACATCTTTCCTGCCTTCTTGGGGTGTTTGAACACATGTTAAAATTCCACTTTGATTCATCTGCAGTGTTTTTGTTGTATTTCTATGTGTGGTTTTTTAAATGGATATGCCAGTTATTACATTACCTATATATAATATATCAGTCTATTAATGGTGTCACTTCACCAGTTTGAATGTAGTGTAGGAACCTTAATGTCCCTTACTTCCCTTTACTTTCTCCTGTATATAATCTTGAATATTTCCCTTACATAGGTTTAGAACCCAACAGTAGATGGTGCTATCATTTTGCTTTAATTGTCATAATTTAGAAAATTCAAGAGGAGAAGGAAAGTTTATTGTATTTACCCATTGTTTTGATTATTGTGTTGTGGTGTTCTTATTTTGATACCAAATGTGTCACCGACTGAGTGTCCTAAAATTGACTACGCATAGCTGTCCTCAGACTCCACAGGTTTAAAGGCTTAGTTCCATATGACTCGTCACTTCAAATAGGGTACCCAGGCTATCCACACTTTTGCTCAGATGACTACAAATTCAGGTGTTCCCATGACTTCTACCTAGGTATGATAATTCATTAGAAAGTCTTACAGAACCTAGGAAAATTCTTATTTTTATTATGTATTAAACTCAAAAACACCCAAATGGAAGAGTTATATAAACCAAGAGATGGCAGAGTGTGTGTGCGCGCGCGCACACACACACACATGGGGCTTTATTACTGTCCTCAGGCACACACACCCTTCCAGCTCTTCTATATGTTCATCAATCCAGAAACTCTTTGGACCCCATCATTTATGGTTCTCACAGAACTTCTATTATGTAGGCATGATAGATTAAATCATTGGTCTTTAGGAATTGAACTTAATCTCATCCCTCTCCTCTTGCAGTTCAAAAGGTGGTGCCAGAAGTTTCACCTCTAATCATGGCTTAATCTTTCTGCTTACCAGGCCCTGTTCTGAAGTTATCTACCCAACTCCATTGCTCACCCATCCTCCTTATTACTTTAGGAGATTCCAAGTATTTTAGGAACTACCTGTCAGGAACCAAATCAGAGACAAAAGCCAAATCTTTATTTTTTTAGTATACTATGTGTGTATTTCCTGGTTTTTCAAGGTGTCATCTTTTATCAGTTGCTGTCTGTTTGGAGAACTTCCTCAAGCTATTCTCATAGGGTAATAAATTCTCTTCCTCTTCCTCTGAGAAGGTCTGAATCTTCCTATGATTTCTGATGGATATTTTTGCTGGGTGTAGGATTCTGGGTTGACACTTCTTTTCTTTTCACACTTGAAAAATATTGTAGCCTCCATGGTTTCAATTGAACATCATGTCATTCTAATTGTTTGAAGTGTTTTTCCTTATAGGTATTATTTTCCGTTATACTTCTCTCTGACTGCTTTCAAGATTTTGTCTTTGTCTTTTTTTCCACAACTTTAGCTACATTTTTCTTGGTGTGGATTAACTTGGGTTTTTTCAGCTTCAGTTTTGCTTCGATTCTTGAAATTATATGTTTATGCCTAGACATAAGTGGGAATCTTTCAGCCATTATTTCTTTGAGTGCTTTTTTCAACTGTATTTTCAAGAAACTGTGTTTCTTGAACTCTGATAACATAGAAACTAAATCTTTTGTTATGGCGCTGCAGGTCCCTGAGGCTCTACATTTTTTTTTCCTCTCAATTAATTACTTCTCCCTTGTTCAGTTTGGGCAGTTCTGTCATTTCATCTTCCAGTTAACTGCTTTTTCTCTGTCATCTCCATTTTGCTTTTAAGTCCATCTAGGAGCTTTTTATTTTGCTGTGTGTGTGTGTGTGTGTGTGTGTGTGTGTGTGTGTGTGTGTGTGTATACGCATGCGCTTTCGCACCTGAATACATGTTGGGAACTGAACCCAGTCTTCAGTATGCTAAGCATGTGCTGTACCCTCAACCCCATTCTGTATTTCTTTGCTGAGACTTTGTATTCCATTTGTTTCAAGCAGGTTCTGAATTCCTATTGAAGAACTATTTTTATCAAGGCTGTTTTAAAAATCTTTGCCAGTTGTACCAACATCTCTGTGTTGGAATCTGTTGCCTTTTCTTACTCTAGTTTGGAATTTTTCTGGTTCGTAGTGTAATGTATGATTTCTCTGAAATGTATATATTTTACTATATTATAAGATTCTGCATATTCTTTAAGCCTTCTGTTTTAGCTGATTTTTTCCTGACTCTGCTTTGGCAGGGGAACCACTAGTGGTTGCTACTTTACTAATACCAGGTAGAGGTAGAAGTCCAAGTTCTCTGCTCAGACCCCATTGACACCCAAAGCAGGGTCTTCTTTACACTGTTGGTCATTGCCTCGCGTTGTGGCAGAGTCTACATGGTCTCCACAACCACTGCAATCAAAGTGCATCATCACCACTGGACAACAGTGGAAGTCCCAAGTCTTTGACAAGCTTCCTCTGATACTTACCCAACAAGGTGGAGAAGAGGCATCCTGTTAGGCTCTGTGTGGTACAAGTCCAGGTTACCCTTGTGGTGTCTGGACACCAAGAGAATGGAAGACTCATTGTCAGCTAACAGGCAGCACAATCCTATCTTCCTATTTGACTTTCTCTAACCTCACCCTGGTGGGAGTCCTGGGGTGCCTTGTCACTATCCCACAAGGTTGCAAGTCTAGGCTTTCTACTTGGCCTTCGCTTATGTGGGTGGAGGTGGAATTATAGTTTTTTTCTGGGGTCGTTAGCTTCAACAAAGTGATTATTGATCAAATTGATCAAACATTTTCTACTGGTAGGCTACCCCTTGCTTAATGCTATGTTGAGAAAGATTAGGCTGTTGTTGCTGCTGCTGCTGCTGTTATTGTCTGTGTGCTTGTTGATGTTTCTTGGTTGCTAGTCTTTCAGATCCAACTGTTGTTTATGAGCAAAGAGAAAATCCAGTGAACTCATTACCATGTATGTGTTTTCTCAGCCATGAGGTCCCTAGTCAAACTGCCTTCCTTTCTCCTCCTTCCAAAGGATCCATATATTTATTTGATACATAATATCTTCCAAATGATTCATATATTTATTTGATACATAATATCTAATATCTAATCCTTTATTCCCAATCCTTATTCTGAGTATGCCATCCTATCATAAATCTGATGCTAGAGGGAAGGAAACAGAGTTCACTCATCCTTGTCCACTTGGTGATTAACTCACACCATTAGGGCTTTTGCTGCAGCCAGAGCAAGTGAACTCTGTGAGACAGAAGCTCTTGGTTTCTGGTATTTTCTAACCCTTCTCCTGTCTGCTGGTATGTAGTCTTGGTAGTCAATCAGAGTCAGTGATTTGGAGTTTAAATTTTTATCTTACTGCTTTGTCCACAGATTGAGGTAAGACATTTAAAGACAATATATTGCTAATATTTTAATTTTATTTTAGAAAATTAAGAAATTTAAAGGACTATTTTTTTCATATAGGCATTGAAGAAAAATTTAGGCCTTTTTATGTAAGTCAGTTTGAAGAATATGTAGAAGAGGATGTGGAGAGTTTAAAGGTAGGTAATATAGCAGATACTCAAAATATTCACATGTCAATGTCTACATTCTCAGTCATGAAAACCAAAGCAGTGTAAATTGGTACTGAGATTTGAGGTAAACTGCTTGGTGAACACAAAACAAATTAACACTTGTAATGCAAATATCATATGTTGGCAGAGTGGACTCATTCCTCCATTATACTCATTAAATGAGAGAAAATACTTATAGCAATATGAAAACAAAAACACAGTGTCACTGGAAAATACATGGATCAGCCATTTTGAGGAATTCTTATAAAACAAAGACAGCAGGATTTTATATGCTAAGATTTGGACGAGGGGAAGAATAATAACCTAAAACATTGCTGAGGAAGAAGTATTAGCGGAGCAGATGGACACTGATAAGGAGTCATTTGGGAACCACATTTACGCTATCTAGAAGAGTTGGCTCCTCCCTGTGCTTCCTTGTACTTAGTAACAGAGGACAGTGGCATCTAAGGCTGAAGCCATCCTTTTGGTGTCCAGGGTCAGATAGGTACACCAAAGCCCAGTTATCAGCTAACCAACTAAGAGGAATAGAGACCTTCCTCACTTTTACACTTATAAATCAAACTACTGCCATACACCCAAAGTCATGAAAAGGAGACTTCAAAAAGTAAAGCAGGCAAGCAAATAGAGATTTCAGAATTAAAAAAATAAATAAATCAGACAATAATTGCCTACCCTTTGAGGGATTCCCTACAATGTAAAAGAGATGTATCTAGTGCAAAGCAAGAAGTGTCAAAGGGACATCAGTAAAGATAAACACTAAGGCAAAAAAGCATTACCTCAACCATCAGGAAGATTTCAAAATACTCCCAAGAAGAGGCTCCAGGGAGGGGACTCCAAGGAGAGACTCTGGAGAGAGAAGCCCTGGAGGAGAAAGAAGATGAGGACAGTGAAGATATTGTGAACCCCTCACCTATGGAAAGTGAGACTCCCGGGTCCTGCCACCCCTAACCTGTCAGTTCTAATACCGAGGATGTAACCAAGAGGAAGAACCATAATTTCTTTCTTTTTTTTTTTTTAAAGAGAGAGTGAGAGACAGAGAGAGAGAGAGAGAGAGAGAGAGAGAATTTTTTTTAACATTTATTTAGTTTTTCTTAGTTCTTGGCGGACACAACATCTTTGTTGGTATGTGGTGCTGCTGAGGATCGAACCCGGGCCGCACGCATGCTAGGCGAGCGCGCTACCGCTTGAGCCACATCCCCAGCCCCGAGAACCATAATTTCTTGGAGTGCAAAAGACAGAATGACCTCTGCTCATGGTTCTTAACCCTGAGGGCCCAGGTACCCACCCTGGCCAGCTGCTCTGAGGCCCCCAGAGTGGCGATTCTGAGCAAAGCCTTGGAATACTTGCAAGCCCTGGTGGGGGGTGGGCAGTAAAAAGAGGATGGATACAGAAAAAATGCAGCTCTAGTGCCAGCAGCAGCAATTGCAGAAAAGAATCACGTTTTCCTCAGTGGGCTACTAACTGACCAAAAAGCCTGACTCTTCTTAGAAAGACAGTTTATTTTTTTCCTCACTTTCCCCCTTAATAATTTGCCCATTTTGGTTATAGTGGTGCTGTCTGAACAGTAGATCCCAAAATGCATTACAGCCAGTGCACACACAGTTAAGGGCTTACATTCTTGGAAACTTTGAAACCCACCTCTCCCCCTTTCCTGACTCTTGGGAGTGCTGTGTCTTCTCTGGCGCCTTTGGCATCTTAGCAGACAGCTGACTGAGGACGCTTGGGGTCTGCTTAGCTCACTAGCTCTGAAGAAAAGGCTGACAGATCCTATGTAACAGGTGGTGGACGAGGGTGTGGGGGCTCCAGCCTGCATGAAATCTCACACTCTGCAGGAGCTTTAGGCTAGGAAAGGATGCTTCCACTGGTGTCTCTGGGGGTGATGCAGAGACAGCTGGGCCTGGATGCTCTCCCTGAAGCTCCTTTTTTCCAGGAGACACCCAAGATATCTTAGGTGAAGGCAAGCTCACAGACTGGAACAACACAGACCATTAACTCACTGTCAGACCCTTGACCTGAGGAGGGCAAAGCTTTAATATACATTATGATGTTAGGTGACACCCCACCCCACTGTGAATGCCCAGACTCTGAGAACATTTAAAGAGCTTGACCTGTTAGATTCTTTGTGTTAGAGCCCTTTGGGCCCTCTCCTCTAAGGGAGGAACAGTTATGTCCTTACAAGGGACTTTTTTTTTTTGGCTCATTCTGCCTTTGTTATGCAGTGGGCTCTACAGTGCTCCTTCCCAAGATCAGAAATATTTCCCCAAGAAACAGGAAAATGGATCCTGGTTTGGGGCTTAGGGAAGGCTTGGAATCCTGGCTGATGAACTTGTTCTGTGTCCAGGTGTTTTCCAAGGGGCATTTGAGGCTTGTCTTTAGATTTTTTTCTCAAGGCAGGTATAAGGCACCTCAGAAGGAAGCACTGTGTAACTCTTCCTCTTCCTATCTGCCTCTCATCTCAATCTTTGACTTTGTTTGAAGTTCTACTGGAACCCTGCAAACCTGTCCTCCTCATGCAACTGCAAGGAGCTTGCTGGCTCTATAACCACTAGCCTCATTCTCTGCCAGTCTAATGTGAGTCAAGACCCCTTTCCCAGATCTTGGCCTTACTGAGGTTCTGGGGAGAGCCACTGAGACTCATCCAGTGCTCCAGGGTCTTAAAAGCACCACAGGAGCTCTGTTTAGCCACCCATCATGGATTTTGCCCCAGTTGGATTCTGTAGGTAGCTCCTAGTAGAATCCAGGTGTAGCCTCCAATCTGGGAAAGTCGCCCAAACCAGCAAGTATTATGTTAAGGAACCCCTAATCCTATCCTGGAAGAAGGGTCTGCTCCTCTGTTGCCTTCTAGCCCCTGGTTTGGAAGTGGAAGAGCAGGAAAGGAAAGCACCATCTATGGCTGTGTAAAACCAGCTGTTACTTCCAAATCTGTTGCCCACAGTAGTTTCTTTCTAAATGTGCTTCCAGGCCTCACAACCCCAGGGGAAGTTTTGGAATTGGCACTCTACTTTCTGGGGTCAGATTTTCGGGAGCCAAAATACTTCTGGAATTGTCTTGGGAGGACAGATGCGGAATAGGTTATTGATGTCTCAGATGAATAGCTTGTGTTTTATAAGCTACAGCTGGGTATTATTCTGTGTTGTTCAAGTCCGTGAGCTTGCCGTCATCTAAGATATCTTTTATACTATATTTTTGTATGTATTTTATAAAGTACTATTAACTGTTTCTGTACAAGGAAAACCTCCTGGACAATTCAGTGACAAAGATTTGATTTTATTTTGAAAGGCAAGTTGACCTGAAATTTTATCTGTAGTTGTAATTGCCTGATTTTAAACTGTTGACTTTGTGACATATTTTAATAAAAGATTTCTCAAATAAAAAAAAATACATGTACACATTTCTCTCTACATATATATATATAGTGAAGAAGTTTTTGCTAATTATCTTAAAATTTAGGTAAAATATACAAATTTCTAGGGGAAAATATTTTAAAACTGACTTAAATGATTCATATGGAATAAAAACCTAAATTATTCCTATAACCATTAAAGGATATTGAATCAGTAATGAAAAATTTTTCTATAGAGAATATCCCACAAATTGCTTTGTCAGTGTGTTCTATCAAATATACCAGTCATACACAGGTTTTTTTCCAGATAATAGAGAAGAAAATACTCTTCCAAGAGAGTTATATGCTACCATAACTTATTTTATTTTAGTATAACTTTGATTTGAAAAGAAGATATAAGAAAGGAAAATTATGGGGCTGGGTTGTGGCTCAGTGGTATAGTGCTTGCCTCCCATGTGTGAGGCACTGAGTATAATTCTCAGCACCCCATATAAATAAATGAATAAAGGTCCATCAACAACTAAAAAAAAAATTAAAAAGAAAGGAAAATTACAGGCCAATTTAATTTAACAGTATAAATGCAAAAATCCTGCTGGGCATAGTGGCACATGCCTATAATTCCAGTGGCTTAGGAAGCTGAGGCAGGAGAATCTCAAGTTCAAAGCCAGCCTCAGTAATTTAGTGAGGCGGTAAGCAACTCAGTGAGACCCTGTCTCTAAATAAAATACCAAAAGGGCTGGGGATGTTGCTCAGTGTTTAAGAGTTCAGTTCAGGCCCTGATATCAAAAAAAGATAAAAATCCAAAACAAAATACTAACAACCTGAATCTATCAATAGACAAAAAAAAAAAAAAAAAAGCATTTTTTTAAAAAAAAAAAAAATTGGATTTAGACCTGTCTAATCTTCTCATGTGTGTCCTATGTCACAAAAATGCAGGCTTCTGAGGCATGGCTGGGAAAAGGGTTATATTTCATTTTCTCAGTTATCTAACTGTGCTGCCTAATTGGATTCCAAGCTAAAAATGTTTCTCTTATTAATGGAAT